CCATATTAATCAAAGGTCACTGCAAACAAAACTTGTGCCTGTGGTTGCAAGTCCTCATTTGGATCTGAAGGCCTGACTAGTGTGAGGTGCAAGTCCAACCCCACAAATAAGGCTAATCTGTAGGAACACACACTCATGCTTCCTGGCATCTGGACACCAGAATTTAAATGAAGCTTGTGTAACCTATTACTGGAAAATTCTTGTGTCTGTGAAAGTCACATGCCCTTGAGCTGATGCGGAACTTTATTCTTCCCAATTGATTTTCATTTTAGTATTTCATTCTCCCAGCAGTTTGCCATCATTTTGATTTAATGCCTTCCATTAATTCTCCAGGGACGCCGCTCTGATGGAGGGGGCAGGTAGAAGGTGATGCCAGCTCTAACATCTCTGCTTGCTTCTGGACTTTCCTCTCAACAAAGGAGTCACAAAAGAACTAAAATGGAAGTGTTGTAGAGCTGAATATGTCTCAAAAGAGTTGTGGCTCTCTCATTCACAGCAGGCAAATTTATCAGTCTGCAATAGAGGAAATGCTACAACATTTTTCTTCTGAAAATTGCCTGGCTCATCGCTCCAGAGCAGAGTACTTTGAACCAATTCTGTAACAGCTGTTTTGGGAAATCAGAACTGCAACTAAATCAAATCTGGGAAAAACAGGAATGGTGTGGAATTCCTGTGGGGTGCAGTCTTGCTGAGACAGAAGGTGGACCGCAGTGTCTTGTCTTGGGGCTGGATAAACTACTCAGCTTTTCTTCACGTAGAGAGCCTTAATGCCATGAAATGGTTGATACCATCTGTCTTTCACTTAGCACCTTTTCCTTCATGCACTTTTCCAAACATTGAGGTATTTATAAAATCTATCTATTATATACCTATATGCATATATATATATATAGCAATCAAAAATACAACAGGGTTCACACTGAACAGTAGGAGTGAAATACACCCATACAAGAGGGGAGTCTGTTCTGTGGTCTTTCCAGTGCCTGCTGGGGCTGCCTTGGTCTTGACTGCTGCAAAGCAATAACAGATGGTAGAACTGCACCCACCATGAGACTAAGAATGTGTTTGACTTTGAACAACATTTGCCATCCTCAAGCAATCATAAATTAAATTTCTTTTACCATGACGTGACTGCAAAATGGAACTAATGAACATTTTTGAAAGCCAGAAGCATGGCTCTCTCTTATTGCAAAACTGTATAGAGGGTTTTTTCCAATTGCACCTGCAAATTCTTTCCTCTTAAAACATCAGCTGGTTTACAACTTGTATTTGTACATCAGTTTGAGTAAAGAGTGTATGTATCCACAGTCTTTCTTGGAAGCAAATTTAAAGTGTAATGCCAAACCAAGAGCACAGTGACACAAATAAGCACAGCAAAGCTGGAGCAGTCTTAGCTTGGAGATATTTTATCATTAAAGTAGATTGTCAAGGTCATTTACACTAGTAGGTCCAGTCAGAAGATATTATATCCTAAATGCATCAGTGCCATAAGCATGTCCCTGTCACCTTCCTTCATGTCTCAGATGAAACCATCTCTTTCAAACTTTCTGAACTTCTACTTCAGACTTGGAAAGCTATTTGCAGCTGTAAGCACTATTAATGAAATTGCTCTCAGGTGGATATCACAAGTTTGGGTGCTGCACTACAGATAGATATTTATTTACATGAGTTATTTACAAATAACCAAATTATTAAAAAGAAATCTTAACACTTCCTCTTCCTCCAAACATATTCTCATCAGTATTTGTACTTTTCATTTACTTCTAATATTTTCTTTGGTTTGGACACTTCACAATTCTCTGCTGAAAAAGGCTCACAAAAGTGTTTAAACAGAGGAACAAAGCAAGCCTGAATCATTCCAATCTGAAATGGGTACATATAACATTGTTTAAACACATCAAACCACAGGATACAAATGTAAATCATGAAGAAATCTTCACAGTGCTGTCCTGCTACCAGCTCCAGGTATAAGCAATAGACTGTAACTATTTCTCTGCTGTAATTATAACAGAAACACATCTGACATTATACATCATATTTTTCAATGTGCCTGGGTATCAAAGGACTTTTCCAAAACCAGTACTGCATTCAGTTTAAAGTTAAGCAGAATCTTGGTTATTTGAATATTTTCTCTCCCACATCAGGAATGATTATTTTGTCCTGTACCCTCACAGTCATAGAGCAACTGAGCATTGCCCCAACAAACATTGCAGCTTCAGATGAAAGACAGCTACACTGCAGCAGGATACTGAAGGTCAATACATAGGTACCTGGCATGGTTTTCATTCTCAGAGCCTCTTTGACCGACATACAGGCAAAGCACAGATTAAACAGAGACATCGGAACTATGATGAGGGAATTCTGAAAACTGGGTCACAGGAATTATAATACAGTGAGCTCTGCCAGATGACCTGACAGCTCCTTCATCAACAAGAGGTTATCAGAAAGAAGGGGATATACCATTCTGTGCCCACTGTGAGGCTGGCATAGTCTCAGCTTTATTCTGCTTATGCATTGACTAAGCCTGGAGAGGAAAGAAGCCACCAGGGAGATAGTGAGGTGCCCTCCAGTCTCCTGAAGCAATGAGGCATGGCTGAGTTGTGCTCTCAGGTGTCCCCAGACATGAACTTGTGAAACTTTAGGTAAGGCAGCAGCAGCTTTCACACTGGGTGTGTGACCTCTGAGGCCAGGAACCAACTCAATCCGCCACCACAGGAGCACCTCCATTCCCAGGACAGTGGAGTGGCAATGGGGAAACAGACACATGGAGTTGCACTTTTTTCAGTGGGTTAGGGCAAGACCTTTAGCAAGCACAGGGTAGAGCATACTGCAGCTAACCCTAAAGACTGACCAACAGCTCTAATCAGAAGTCCAACTGCAGACTGCTCAGAGCAGCTGAAGATTTTAAATAAATAAATAAAAGAAGAAAACATACAGAACTAGAGGAGAAAACCAGCCTCCAGCTGGCAGGATGATGATAACCGCTACAGAAAGAACTACATTCATTTCCTTTGCCAACAAGAAGAAACAGAGAGAGCCTTTGAGATGCCATTACACAAAGCACCTGGTGCAAAGAACTGAACAGAGATCTCTATTCAAGTTGTACTTGTATTGCTGCAAGTTACTTGTTCGCATTTTTTTAAGATCAAATTCCAGGACTGTGTAATCAAAACGTATTCTTTGCAAATGCCATTAATAAAGTAATTAGGTACCCTGCTTCTTTGATCTCATACTTAAGAGTAACTGCTTATTAAGTAATTACATGCCTACCTGGTTTTTCCAGTGCAACAGAATACATTTGGAAGTTTACTGGCATGCTTGGTGCAGAGGAGTGAAACCACAAGCAGAGCTAAGGAGAGAATGACAATCTTGACACTGTCAGTGAGGCCCTGGAGTGACTGCCACTTCAGGGCCCCATTATATGTCCCTTAAAATAGAGACAACGCTGTGTTTCATTCTGCTGGAAAGGTAAAAGCCAGTGCCATCGTCACACCTCCTTCTGTTAACACCTGGACTGCAGTGGGTTACTGGGTAGGTGCTGTTGACATCCAGATCGTCCACACACTCTGGACATGAAACCAAGTGGAACAATTACTAATGTCAACAACAAGCCTAGCTAAAAAGAGGTCATTAAAATGTCTGTGTCTCATCCTGAAGAGGTGTCTTTTGGAAAGGATGAACCTGAGGCATGCAGAATTTCACTCCATCCGGAGAAAGGCAAGATTTTGCTTACAGTGGATTGAAGAGTTGTTAGGGAATGAGAAATAAATGTCTGCTCAAAGAGAGATGTAGACAACTTATTTGCAAAATTTTACTGGGAAAAAAAATATAATATTTGGGACAGTAAATTTATTAATGGTGTTTCCAGGTCAAACTTTTTTTATGGAAAAGGTTGACGATTTTGGATTACCAGGTTTTATTTTGGCTACATTGGCAAGTATGTGAAGTAGGAGTACCAAGAACACTGTAACATAGTGAAACTCTCCTGAAGGAATAAATGAATAAAGCAGAAGATAGTGAACATGATTCTCCAATTCACTACTTCAAGAACAAAGATGCCTAAAAGTAGCATTTGGCAGCCTTTGGTCCTTATTTTGTGTGTGTTTCAAAGAGAACTTGAATACAGAGTAAAGGGAAGTTGGATATTTTGTCTTCTTAAAGCCCATGTCCTTGACATTTGATCTGGGAAGAAACATGAGATACTGAGGCATCAAGAAAAGGAATACTAAGCTCAGTGAAGACCTTGATTAAGACAATGATTCCATCTCTATCATCGCTTCCTCTTGATACATGAATGCCAATGTTGTTTTCATAATTATGGTCCAAAGCAATTGGTAATATTTGCTTATTGCTTTGAGAATGCCAAATTTTAAGTGTTACTGCCTGTCAGACCCCTCATCCCTGACATACATCAGGCAAACTTGCCTCTCCCACCTATTTAAGAGTGGAGCATCTTACCTCATCACCTGCCTGGCTGAGGTAATACAAGTCTATCACCAAGGATCCAACAGAAATGCTGGAATAATTACAGTACTTTGCACTTTCATACCACCCTCCCACTGGGAATTACCAGTGTTTCCTAAACATCAGGCAAAACTCTTTAAGTTCCTATAATGTATAATCACTGTGATCCATTTGCTTTAGTGGGACAGGCACATGCCAGTGAAGACTCTTGAACAAAATTACAGAGCAAATCAATGACAGCTCCAGTAATAGGTCCCAGATGCCCAGATCCCACATTCCTTGTGCTAGATATTGGGCAGGCTGTAGCATGCAGACTGTTACCCGGATGGCCCTACATGAGGTCCCACACACTCAGCCTTGCCAGTCACTAACATCTTTTTAAAGAAGAAAATAAGGTAAGATTTGAGTTTTCTGGGTTTTTTAATCACGCAAAGCCCACCACATGAAAGGCATGTCGGTCATGGACATCCAGTTTCCATGTGGATAGGGTCCCCTACCCCATTTTAAGTGATAACACAAGGAGAACAAAGCATTACCTTCCTCTCCAGCAGCAGAGTTTCCAACAGTCTCCCTTTCCCGGTCAGTCTGGTTGGAAACAGCACTTCCACTTTTTGTCCTTCGAAGAACACTGAACGCTTTGTTTATTTTTTTAAAAGATCTGCTTCTTATGGTAGAGCGTTCAAAGTGTCGAGCTGCAACAGCAGGAAAAAACAAATCAATACCCTTCAGCAGTTCTGGGCTAGAACCATGTCATTTTTGCAGCCCTCAGCACATGATGGGGTATAACATCAACAGCAAGGCTGCCTGCACTTCACCTTTGCACCTGAGTCCTGCTGCTGATACTTCAAGGTTGCACCCACCTGAATCTGGGTACAATTACCCTACCTCAGTCCCACACCCAGGAATTGCAACCTTCTCTGTTTTGTCAGCCACACAGAAAAACCTCCTGTGAGTGTGGTAGCCTTGGAGAGAATAATCCTCCACCAAGACAGAATAAAAAAATGCATATAAAAAAAGCACTGCCCTTCCCAAGCCATGTATGCTTGACAGAAAAAATCTGGAAGTCATTGTTAAAAACTCTTCTTGAAAAAACCCCACTACTATCACTACTGCCCCAAAGCCTTTCAATGCTTCTGAAGCCACCAATGATTGCCAACGATTTCATGTCAAAAATTCAGAGTATCAGGTGGGAGGGATCAACTGATTCACATATTCTGGCCTGGGTTAAGGCAATACAAAAGTCATAA